TAACAACAACAACAACAATGGATAAAAAAGCAGAAAGTATGAGCTGGTTCTATATCAGATATGGAAGCTGTAGCAGAGAAGAGGTGTGGCCTCTGGTGCTACCCTCTCACCTTTCCTGGTCTCCCAACACCAATATACAGACAGGTAAAGATGCAGCATCCCCCAGCATAGAGCAAGGAAAGCACAGGTTAAACAGAAAAGATACAAAACAACTATGACATACCAGCTTAACCCAGTAAAATCAGCAAAATTTAACAGAGAACCAAACAACAAATGCTGGTGAGGTTGCAGAGAAACTGGAATCCTTATTCACTGTTGGTGGGAGTGTAAAATGGTGCAGCCACCAGGGAAGGCAGCATGGCACTTTCTCAAAAAGTTGGAAATAGAAATACCATTTAACCCAAAAAGTTGGAAATAGAAATACCATTTAACCCAGTGGAATCTACCCTAAAGAAACCAGAACCGCCACCCAAGCAGATATATGCACACCTGTGTTTGTTGCATCTTTTTTTCACAATAGCAAAGAGTTGGAAACAACCTAAGTGCCCACCAACAAACGAATGGATAGAGAAGCTGTGGTATATTCACACATGGAATACTATGCTGCATTGAAAACCAAAGAACTCATGAAATATACAAAATGAGTGACCCTGGAGGACATTACGCTGAATGAAATATCTCAGTCACAAAATGACAAATACTGCATTTTGCCACTGTTGTAAAGTGGGTCTGACATCGGAATTTGGGGGAAACTAAAAGGGAATAAATAATGTATACTGCTTTGAAGCAGATGAAGGAGAGAACTATTTAGGAGAAATATATGATTAGATATTATTGTCATGACAAGAGTCCAGAATGAAAGCTGCATAGTGGATTAGACTGGGATGTGGGGGGGGGGGGGGAATCGCATAACAATGAAAGAATTTTTTTTTTCTTTTCAAAGAGAAAAGCAAACTTGTGGGGGAAGGGTGGGGAAGGAGGAAAGTGTGCAAGAATGAATGAATG